CCCAACCTGACCATGGCGCTTATCGAGCTCGAGTATAGTATCTTCTTGATTCTGGGCACTTTGATCATCAATAGATTCATGATGTGGTGAGAGCGGAATATTTTGACTCAAAATATCACGAATTATTTCATTTTTCAACAACTTTTTTGAACGATAAGTTGTCCATCGACTTACACTCATGATTAAACAAGGATACAAAATGAACGATTCATAAATTTAACATGAACATTTAACATTTGCAATTACTTTGCCTTTTCTCTATTTGCAAGGAACATGAAACCAGTTTTATGACTGATAACAAGTGTCTTTGTTTCATCAATTTTGATAAGATAATAGGCATAACCTTTTCCGGCTCATTTTAACATGCCTTTCATCACTTCCACTTTGTATCTTGTAGTTATTAAGTGATTCATAAATCATGGGTGGTAAACGCTTGAGTAAAGGTACAATCAAAGGACAAATGAAGTTGAAAGATTTCATGAGTGCAAAATCTAGTGAATCAAAGTTTTCATCGTCGAAAAGTAAAGTGAAAATCAAATCAGAGTCTAATGATAAGACAAACGTTTCAACAGGTTCACAACCAACGGTTAAAAATGAGTTTTCAACGTGTTTAAATGATCATGAATGTTTTGCTCTGATTCTTGGATATATGATTGGACATGAATCACGATACAAGCCATACGTTCTTCGTGTTAACGTTAATTGTGTAGCCAATGAAAGTGATAACAGAGAAAATGGACGATATGTAACATTCAAGTGCTTTGGTTTCAATTGTTTTGGTAAAATCATTTCAGCTTCAGGTGAGTTCCTACATAATGATTGAATGACTATTAATTATGTTTCTGTATTTATATACTCAGTGAACATGTCGAAAGTTGAAAGCGCCATAACTATGACACGTGAAAAGCTTCATTCACTCGACAAGAACTTGGTTTTATGGGACCATGAAGATATAATTTATAATGTCATGAATCTGACAATGCTTGATGCTGCTGACTTAGAAATGGTTCAAAAATCAAAAATATACCAAACACTCGACATGAAAAAACAACTCAACCAAAAGTTGGAAACACAAATTGATAGAATACCGAATGAATCTTTTAACAAAGGAATGAAAATTAGCAAAACAAAACATGACAACGTTAATGTAAATTCATTATCAGGTGAATCAGCTGGCACTGCTTTTGTGAAGAAAGAGCCAAGATTGAGGATGCATGATCCTGAAATATTAAGGTCAATCATCATGAAAAAAGAAGAATCAAAGAAAAGAATCGAAAGTGATATATCATCAATTATGGATCGCATAAATGAACTGAGCCCACTAATCAATGCAACTGATATATGTTCTATCATGGTAAACAAAATAGTTGATTTCATGAAATTGTTGAATGAAAAAATACAGATAATGGATGACTTGAGACATAAAGATTTCGCTGTCTTCAAAACATCAAGATATAATGTCAATGTTGACTCAGATAAGGTAAGATTCATTAATCGTTAATTGTTCAAAATAATGATTCTCATTTTGATTTCATGCAGGGTGTTGTCATGGTACCTGGAATAAGAACAGGATTTCCTGTCGATGGATATGCCACTGCCATGACACGAGAGAAGCCAAAACATGTTGTTTCGATTTTGATGAGAAAATGCATCGACCCATCACTTAAAGAAGGAGCAAAAATACGAGATGATTATGACAAAAATAATTTCATCATGAGACTTGGTGAATCACACTTGACAGGTCATGAGAAATACAAAAGCGGGAAGAATGAAATAGATAAAATAATAGGTAAATTATAACATGGTACTTTGCTCACCATTTATCTAAATTCACGATTCATTATTTATTTTCATAGATTTTGCTCATCATTTACGAGGAATTCAAGAATATGGAATGAATGAATATAAAGCTTGCCTCAGACAAGTCCGTAAAGCACTTGAAGACTTCAATCGTCCCGATAGAGCTGTCAAGAAACCTAAAAATGAAACAATAATCACGATTGAAGATGACGATGAGAAAACTATGAAAAGCGTCAACAAGAAATTCATGTTGGATGAGCCATCAACATCCAGGAAAACATCATCCTTTGATTATGATGAAGATGATAATTTTTCAAGATTCCCGAGTTCATTGTCAAAGAAAAGATTTTTCGATGATGAAACAAGTTCAGCAAGTTCTAATGAAAGTGATTCATCTACCAGACATTATGAACCGAAGAAAAAATACAGAATCTCAGATCAAGATTCAGATGCTGAATAATTGAACATTCAATCTTTTTTGTTATACTTGTTATTGTTACATTCGATGATATTTTGTTTTTCATATTAAATTTTGTTTTTTGCATAAATCACGTTTTAATAATCATTTATCCATTTATCATTCACATTCATTTGAATAGATACAAATCATGAGTCTATATTGCATCTGTCTAGCGGCTCATTTCATGAATGCTTGTCTGCGGCTCTGCACTTGTGTTTCGTGTGATCGTTTTACGCTTTAACTCGCGGCTCGCGTCAAGTTGCCAGTCATTGAATTTAGTATTTTATCCGACCGGCTTACAAGCAACATTCAGGAGTATGAAACACAGTTGCAGAGGGCCGCAGTGTTTCACTGGGTACTGCAAAGACACAATTAAAACAATTATAAAATTTATAAACTTTACACAAATGGCCAAAAACGGGTAAAAATCAATTGCTTTCAAATTTAGATTCTGTTAGTTTCTAGGGACACAAGAGATTAGTCCATTTTTGCTATTTGAAAATTTCTATGATCAATTGTTTTCGCCAAAATGGAGTTCAAAGTTGAGACTTTGATCGTCTTTTGTACAATTATGGAAGCAAATTTTTTCACGAAACTAATTTTACTGAGGTTAACTTTGATGGCCAACCAGAAGAGGTACTTATTTTACGAAATAAAGTTTTCTGTTTTCTGTAAAGCAGATAATTTCGATTTTAAGTTAAACCTGTCGCATTTCGTGGCTATATCAATTAGAAACATGAAAATTAGTATTTGTCGATAAAACTAATAGCAAACATCATGGATTGAACAATTTTCTCAATTTCTTTACAGTTCTCTTGATTTTGGCCATTGGCCTTAAAAATTTGAGACTCAATATTTCGTGAATGGCATCGCATAGAATCATTATTCTTCCTCCAATCAATAGATTTTATCATGGGCTATTACTGTATAAATTTTAAATGCTACAAAAAAGTTATAACATTGGATTGCTATTGATTTTAGATTTGAGACTTTATTCGTAAAGTTGAATGGTTACCAAACACAAAACTTAGAAGAATCTTCATTATATATTGTGAATTAGCTCAGATTTTATTCGGTACTCATTCTGTTATCGCATATACTGTTACAGCCCATAATTACATCTGATGTTTAGTGAAAGAATGATGATTGAAAGTGATTTCATCCCTAAATATTGAGTCTCAAAGTTTTAAAGCCAATGGCCAAAATAAAAAAAACTGTTGTACAATTGCAAAAAGTATTCAATCCATGATGTGAAGCAACAATTTCGATAGACAAATAATAAGTTTCAGCGCGCTAACTATTACGGTCACAGAAAGTGATCGGTTTAACTGAAAATCGAATTCGATCTGTTTTACAGAAACACAAAATGCTATTTCTCAAAATAAGACCATTTTCTGGTTTGTCATAATTAGTTACACCTTTCAAATAAGTTTCATGAAAAAATCTAGCTCAATAGTTGCAAAAAAGACGTTCGAAGTTTCAATTTTTACCTCGATTTTCTCGAAAACTGTACATCGGATTAAGTATTTAATAGTACCAACAGACTCAGCTTGCATGTCCCTACAAATCCACAGAGTCTCAGCTCTTAAAACAAATGTTCGAGCTTTTGCCAGTAGTTTTTGCATTTCATTTGCAAGTTGAACCAGAAAATTGCTTTATTTACCAAGACTTGGGTTGAGATGAGCTTGTTTTGTTCAATAAGTTATTGCACGTCAATTTACAACTCAAGAATCATGACGCAAATGCTCTAATAGAAAGTTATTGAATTGGATTGAGTTATTTATTAGTAGGGAATTAAATTGGCTGAGGAATGGTTATTGTAAGTGATGCTATTCTCGAAATATTTAGGTTCAAAGTTTTAAGGCCAATGGCCAGAATCAAGGAAACTGTAGAGAAATTTTAAAAATCGTTTGAATGTTGATGTATAGCATCAATTTTCGTCGACAAATACTAAGTTTCATCTTTCTAAATCTTTCGGTCAGCGAATGCGACAGGTTTAACTTAAAATCGAAATG